ATTAAAAAGAATAGTTAATAAGAAGGTATCCTGATAAGGAAATTAAGACACACACACACATGCACGACTAAAATCATATGTTCACTGAAAATTGTATTTGCCTCGTAAAATGTCCAAATCTTTGGTTCCTCATTAAATTAAAAAGAAAAAAGACAGTTTAAAAATAAACTTCTTAAACTACAAAGCCACACTGTTCTGGCAGTTTCACTGACTCACTTCTTAGGTCATGAAGAGACGGTCTATTGCCCAAATGTTCTCCATCTCCCTGCGTGGCGTGACACTGTTTTGTGCTAATGAGTACACAGGGTACATTAGGGAAGCTTTGCTGACGTTGGTGGTATGGGATTTAGAATGAAGGCCTGCGCTGTGTCTGTCTCCTGCACTTAACTGAAACTCTTTCCTTTTGTCCTCCTTCCTGTCACTCTTCACACTTCAGTGATTTCCCCTCCATGGGTCATTCTGAGATCCTGTGGGCTGTCCCTCAGCTGTCCTCCCACCCTTACTAATGGGGACACCTGTGCCAGCCCCCAGTCATCTGGGAAGGATAAAAGCTCAGACCGCATTGGGAATAGTCAGCTTTTCCACCCACACTGGCCAGCAAATTACTTCCTTGCTCTGATTACATTTTGTTGGGTTTGGTTTCAATGTTGAGACTAGAAGTTTTCAAATTGCCTCTTGCTTTGTTAATAGATGAATGTGTTGCTTTGAATAAAGCGAGTGGATGACTAGAATACTCCAATGTCATGACTATCATAATCATTCCCATGATCATTATAAAAAGCTTGTACTATGCACCTGTGCTTTGGACCAGGGGACCCAAGTGAAGGCTGGAGGAAAGTGAGAGAGATGCATACAGCCAGCACTACCTTGCTTCTGCTTTTTCCTAGGATGGGGATGACAAAGTGTGGACGAACTAGGGGAAATATACTGAACAACTCAGAAAATAAGCATGTGTTGCTTGAGGACCAGAAATACTGTGAGGAGAAGTACATGGGTAGCGACTTACTCCATGTTAACTCTGCCACATCCAAACAGGTGCCTGGAGCAGTGCCAAACACAACATGCCTGGGAAAAGAATCTGGCAGGCAAAATAAGGGCAGCATTGCTTTCCGAATCAGGGCCATGGTAGTTACCTAGAAGGGTCAGAAAGTTGCCTGGCAACATTTTGTACAGTGACATCATGTGGCCATCTGTTGAATCGGGACCAAGTTAGAGAGAGTGAAGATATATTTAATTTTTGCTGACACTGAACTGTCAGAAGAATACCACAGAGAGAGAGAGAGAGAGAGAGAGAGAGAGAGAGAGAGAAGTGAGTTATTTGAAATCTATAAATTGCGCTTCATGTCACCTGTAGGAAAAGCAAATAAAGTTCTTTCATCTCCTTCAGGGAAAGATGAGTGACTGCTTAGAGGTGGGTGGCAGGAGCTGTGTCCCTCTTATGGATCGCCTGTGGAGGTGACTCCCTGCAAACGCTGTGGGCTCCACATTTGTGTGCCATCGGGGCATTCTAATCACTTCTGGTTGTATCTGAGCAGAGCTAAGTGCTGCTCTTAACTGTCCTGTCTTCCTCTTGTCTTCACTGTCCTTTCCAAAGAGAACAGTAAAAACTGATTCAAGAAGCCTTAGACTCTCCATGTTGCAGGGCTCCCTGGCTGTGTTCATGATGAAGTGGGACTGGAAGAGTTTACTCACTCTTTTATTCATGTATTCCCTTGCAAAGATATGTGGGTCTGCTGTGGAACAAGGCTTTGTTCTGAGCACAGAACTCACTTTTTAGAAAGTTTACCTTAGGAAACGTGCAGAGTTTGGACTTGTGCCTTTTCCAGAGTTCTCTGAAACTCTTACTCAGACTACTCCAGAATACAGAGGAATACACACAGCGAAACATTGTCTATTCAAAGGCACATCAAGAGGCAGAAGAGGTAGAGTCCCCATACACTAGCAAAAACTGATGGTTGACATTTTAAAAAAAATGTTATTTGTTATTTTTGAAGAGAAATTACTAGCTTGCATTTAAGTTTTGAAAATAGTAACCTGTAGAACACCTTGAGAAGATTTTATTCATTTGCAAAAAATGAATAAGGATTGAGACCGGATTACATTTATTATTGAGGTAACCCCTTTCTATTTAGATCTTGTTAACCTGACAGAGTTAGAAACAATTTATTTTGTTGTGAATTCTACTAGAGGTCTTAAAACGTTGTTCGTCCAGTGGAAAATAACAAAACAAAAATGAATCTATATGGTTCTGTGTGTGTGTGTGTGTGTGTGTGTGTGTGTGTGTGTGTGTGTATGTGTGTGTGTGTATTTAGCAAAGTGACCAGGAACTTAAGAACCTCCAGAATGTGTATAGTACATATAAGCCTATAAAGGTCACACAGATGTTTCCTACAATTTTTCATTTCCAAATAGTCAGGTTCTCAGATGGTGGTTTTCAGGTGGATGCTACATAGGGAAGGCAGAATTTTGCTTTGCTGGTTCTTGGCACCCACCTCAAGCCTGTAAAACATTCATTTTATTTATGTAATATTAAGTAGCCAGATGTGCAAAAACAGTTGCATTGTTCAAGTTCCCTCTCCCAGTACTGCCAGGGTGCAGAATATCTCACGCAATGTGATAACTTAGAGTATAAATGGATGTCGTAAATATTTTTACATGATACACAAAATAAGCTTGATTTGGGGACAATCTGTAGACCTACTTTTAATTTTGTAATTTTGTTTTTATGATGTAGTCTTCCAGGACAGGCAGGTGGTGAGATACATACTCATGGAAAGAGAAGACAGCACCATCAAGTTAGCAGAGCCCTCCAAAATCAGGAGGGGAAAAACACTGCCTTGCCTGAGACAATAGCTGCTCTGTAAAATTGAGCCTCTTTGTATTATCATGGAAATTACATTTGGAAGTACTGCAAAAGGTTGTTACACGTTATTGTTAATTGTGGCTAGAGACACAAAGCAATATGATCATTTCATGGTTTATTTGTTATTTGAAAAATGACAGTTTTTATGTGCCAATAAATGTGAAACCACCTGGAAATACTTCCGTGAGTTTAGTAGTCTGACTGTCCTTGCTTAATCCCTACAGCAGATTTTAATTAAATCATTTGAGTTTGCACTTAGCAGATAGCATCTGTGTCGGTCATCCTGAGGGAAGCCGTGTGTTTGGTCGGCATGAGACAGGGCAGCACATCACTGAGAATTGATGGGTGAAGGGTAGTGTCCATCAGAATACACTCTCAGAGACAGTTAATTCCCAGGTTGTATGTGCTTCAGTCCTGTCCCGAGGCACCTACAGCCCTACAGTCCTTTCTTCCCACACCTTCCCCTTGTCTTGGACAAGCACAGGCTGAAAGAACACCAAGGAGCCTTCAGTTCATCCTCGATGGACTGAACAGCTGGCAGGCAGTGTGTCTGGTGTGTTATACTCATGCCACTCATGATGACAGGACTTCACCTTCAAAGGTGACACCAGCTATCCCCAAGTTTTAATAGGATTGCCCCAAAATTCTAGAGAGCTCTTTGTGTCCACTTGGCATTCTGTCTGCTCTTCTTTGCAATAGCTCCACTCTCTTTTCCCGTAACTGCCAGATCCTCTATTGGTAATCTTTAAACTCCGGGCTGCAGTGATTTCTCTTCATACAGCCACACATTCAGCACATCGTTCATGATTCTCTGAAGGAAACTCAGAGAATGCCAGCTAATAATTTGGTGAGGAGGAAGTTGGTGATAGCATTAAGGCCACCTGTCTAGAGATGCTAGCTGCGTGGGTTGACTGAGTGAGGAGAGACCTCCTGGGAATGGAGAATGAGGCCCTGTGCTTTACTAGGCATTCCTGGCGGGGTAACTTAAAAGAATACAGAGCAGTTTTCAGGGGGGCTCATCTATCTTGGTCCTATTGTAGATTATTTACAATGCTGTGGCCATGATTAGGCATCACTATGGAAGAGTACAAGCCATCTGAAACTTTATTTTTAACTCACGCAGACTGAAGGGCGTCCAACAACACTTGTAGTGGAACTTCCATTCATATCTTGGCAGAATGCTTTTTTAAGTCCACAGGACATTCATTCATTCGTTAGATATTTAGTGGAAATGTACTCCATGCTGGACCTTAGTGTAGCTGTTGGGAATACACCTTTGAAGAAGTAGACCAATACTGTATCCTCATTGAGTTTATGTTCTAGCAGAAGGCGTGTCGGCAAGAAGCAACAAAAGTAAAGTTAGCAGTAGTTCAATAATGAAGGCAGTGAGAGGTTTTTAGAAACCTGTGCACCGGGGCTGGGGTTTTAGCTCAGCGGCATAAAGCGCCTGCCTTGTAAGCAGGCAGTCATGAGTTCGATCCCTGGTACCAATAAAAATGAAAAAGACAAAAAAAAAAAAAAAAAAAAAAAAAAAAAGAAAGAAAGAAAAGAAAAGAAACCTGTGCACCATTCCTTGAGAAGGCTTTCAGGAATCCTGGTTATGACTCAAGCCTCATAAAGCTCAGCTAAAGGTAGGGTGATACAAAATATGTTGATGTGGAACAAAAGAATGTGAGGTATAAAAGGAAATCAAAAAAAAATAGAGCCCATCCTCTTTCTATAGCTTCCCTTCCCTCACCAGGTGGTGACCATTCTTGCTCTTCGGTCTCCTCAAATGGAGCTGAGACAAGGCATAGTGTGCAAGAGGGTTTGGGTTGAGGGGATCATAGAAAATGTTCCAGATTAAGGAAATAATTTGGGGAAAAAAGTACATATGCACACACATACAATGGCAAACTACAAAAGAAGTGGAAAAGCAGACCTCTCTTTCCTACCCACTCCTTGAAAATTCTCCTTTGCGTGGTGAAGATGATTTGGGGCACTGGTCTAAGGCACCATAACAGGACAGAATGAGAGTCCTTGTTTGGCTGAGTATTGTCTGCCTGCCCTCTTGTCAGATTTTCTCCTCCTTTTGAAGTTCTGTCCACTTATAAGATCAACTTCCTGTTGTTTTCTTCCCCAATATTCTCTGCTGCAGATTATGCTGCTCACGGACCCAGAGATTGAGAGCAGCCTGTTGATCAGCTCTGATGAAGGCGCCACCTATCAGAAGTACCGGCTGAACTTTTACATCCAGAGCCTGCTGTTCCACCCAAAGCAGGAAGACTGGATTCTGGCATACAGTCAAGATCAAAAGGTGAGCATGTGTCCTCACTTCATGTGCTGGGGAACGATTCTCCTGGGAAGGAACACTCGCTGTGTGTCTCTCCATTTGACTTCCATGATGACTTCTGCTGTGAGAAGTCCTTTGAACTTTGTGCCTGTGGGAGCTGGGGAAACAGAGGTTCTCTTTGCTGGCCTGAACTATGTAACTGTCTGAAAGAACACACAGAATAAAAGACATTAAATAAGACATTGCAAAGCAGCAGTTGTTAACATGGATTCTGTGTTGGGCAGCTTTCTATCACTAAGATAAAAATCTGAGATTCATCTGGTAGAGAGCAAATGTTTATTTTGGAGTACAATTTTAGAGTTTATAGCTCCAGACTGAGTGACCTCGTACTCTGGGCCTTGGAGGAGCAAGTACCTCATGGTAGCAGAGTGTTGCAGAACAAATTCACTCACCTCATTCACCAAGAAACAGAGGCAAAAGAGAGGACAAGCTAGGGCCCCTCAGTCCCCTTCAGGGTCATCCCCAGTGACTTCAAGATCTCCCCCAGGACTCACCTCCTCAAGGTCCACAGCTCCTCCTGCAAGAGCCTTTCTGGGGATGAAATCCAAACTGTAGCAGTGCCTAAAGCTCTCGGGGTCACTGACCTCCAGGGAGTCTGAGACTGCTTTGTGTATGTGACTTAGTCATTTTTCTTGGTAAAGGAGCCATAGAAGGCCGTCAAAGCCCTCAAATCACTGGTAACACCAACAAAGGCCTGCTGAAAAGAGAAAACTGGTCAGAGAACAATAATAACGATGCATGAGTAACATCATTCAGAATACAGGTGTCTCAGTGCTCTTTTGTTTTTGGTGGTAAGCTTGAAGGAAAGGTCCACTTACTAAGAAAATATCAGAATGGTTTATGTGGTTACATGTGTGTGTCCCATAAATGTCATACTCTGTAGTATGTATGCTGTGTTACATATGTACTATTAAATATATCATCCCTGCCTTTCAGAAATTACATTCTTAGAATCTAAGGCTAGCAATGGCCAGTTAAATTTAATAGCAAAAGCCCAGCATGTACGTGGGCAAAAGTGAGAGAAACTCCAGCCATCAAAAGCAAATAGGAAAACATGTGAAATACTGGAATGCTCCTTGTGAAATGCATTATCCACTGCATTCATTCCGAGAGCTTTCCTTAGAGGAATCATGTCTTAGAAATTATGCATATTTAAAGAGATCCTGGACTTATATGTGTATGAGCTGATGTCAGTGTGGGAGGTCCTCCCTGCAGGCATGGCCATGGGGTCACCAAATTGTCAAGGTCTCGACTGACATGAACATTTTGAAGGAAGCACATTAACATTTTAGGATTGGAGCTTTAATCAAGCTGCCCTTATTGCCAAATAAAATGCACATTAAGCCTAAAAATAGCAAAGATTTACAATTCATAGTTCCTTCTTCCTGCGCATTCTGGCTACTCTTTCAGCAGAGTGTACAATTTTATTCCTGGAGTCAGGCCACAGTGCATCTGGCCCAGGGTGCAGTTAGTAGAGACAAGGGCTGAGCAGCTTGGGACACAGAGTGTTAGTCATTTAATCTTCTGGGTTATTGAATTCTGTTCGGCAGTTGGCTCAATATTTCCCCTGATGCCAGAAACAGTGCAGGCCAGATTTACCTGGCTAGGTGAAAGCCTGCATCTTGGCAGTTCTGCTGGGGGAAATGCCCAGCAATGTAACCTTTCATGTTCCCAGCCTTGAAACCAGGTCCTTGGCCATCCTGTGGCATCCCTGGAGTGAGCTGTGTCCGTCCATCTACAATGCACGGCCATCTACAGTAGGCCATATTTAGTATCATCTTCCTTGCCACAAAATGAGTTTGTGTTGAAACTTCGAATCACACGTACATTTGCAATGTGATTTAAAGAACAAATATTAGACTGTGCATCCATTCACTCCTACATGGCAGTAACATTGGTATAAAATAACTGTATCAAGGAACTTTCAATCCACACAGAGATGGAAAATTAATACATTTGCTTTCACCAATACTTTGAGAGAGGCTAAAAAGTCAGCACTCTCACTGCCGCATAATGGTTACATATCAGAGTGGCTGGATGAATTACATGAAATTGGTTTAAAGTTCAGGAGATAGAGATCTAGCCATCTATTAACTCGATGTTCTATGAAATTACTTCACCTGCACCTGAGTAAATGTGAAAGATTTCTGTTGGAGCAGGCACCTTTTATAAAAGGAATGTTAAAAACAATCCTGTAAACCTGGGCGAAAATGTTTGGAGCTGGCTGACTTTTTATTCTGCTAAAACTAAAAATTGATAAAGCTAGTTATGCACATACATTTAGAAACTAATCTTCTTTAGTTTTACTCTTTCAATGATTGCACAAAATAAGTTCCATTTTCCTAATAGGATCCTTGGTCATGGGAATGCTGTTTGGCGGTACCAGTTAAAGAACTAAGCTGTATTAGTAATTAGTAATTAATAATATATAGTCAAACGCAAGGAGACCAGGTAGCATGATATTACAGCTGTCCTGCATCAAACGCTGAGGATCTGGACCTAAAGTGATCTTCAGTGATGACACACCCAATGAATTCTGACATTTTATAACTGGAAATAGTCTTATAATTCTTTATTGTATATGATGCCAGGGATCAAAAATCAGAGAGATTAATAAATTTTCTCAAAGGAAGATCTTTTGTTGGTATCATGTGGGAATGTTCTGTGAAAGGAATACATCCCTCCCGTGAGACTTGGGAGGGTTTTTATTTTTGAGGGTGATACCTGAAGTGAAGAGAGGAGCAGGAGTTAGTCCTCTGCAGGTCTCTCCATTTCTTTAAGAGAGAATGAATGATAAATCAATATAGAGTTAGGGTAAGAATTAGATAAACTGATAATGCAAGAAGGCACCATGTAGCCGCCAGGTTTCAAAATTTGAATCTCTGAATGAGAAGGGGAAGTTAGTTGGAGGGCATCGAACTGCCCTATCAGGTGAGCCACTGCTGGAGTCAAGTTGAGAGGCACCCTGACCTGTCATGAGGGAGGGGCTCTGATAGGAAAAGTAGCTGGCAATCACTCATGGACTTTAGGGCTTTTAGGACAGATGAGACACAGCCGTGGGCACTGAGGGAGTCTGAATGTTTGTGTTGTACCATCTAGAATTGTATTTGTCCAAGAAGGGGAAAGATGTCTTCTTTCAAGTAAGTATTTTTGTCAGTTTTTCTGTGACAACTACTGGTGCTACTGCTGCAGAATTACCAGCTAAGATCTCAGTGTCAGTGCTAGGACTCAGTCTGCTAGGCACTGTTTTACATCAATGCTGGTTCACAGAATCTGTGGGTAAAGGGTTTTCTAAGAAAACCCCTTTTTGAGGTGCATCTCCTCCAGAACTTACTTAAGATCAGTCTTTCTTTTCTCTTCTTCCCATGTTTGCCGTCTTCTTATAAGATGGACTTTACCTCATGTAAACCCATGGGCACATTCCTTTTTTCCACATTTCCGGGACCGGGATTTTTCTTTACTTTAGTGAATGAGATATTTCAGGTCCTGAGAATAGAATGTGGGTCTCTGGCTTGAAGAGTACCTAGGAGAGCTGCAATGCTCTCACTGTTCCATTGTGGAGACCTTAACACCAAGTGTGGATTTTCTGATGTGAGCTTCACAAGGGGCTCGAAGAATTTTGTTGGTCTGACTGTCTGACCCAAGCTAGAGGTAACTGACTCTTAGTTCTTGAGGCCAGATGAGCTGTAAAAAAGTGGTACTTCAGAGAAATCATGACATTTTAATATTTTAGCCCACCCCGTTTTCACTTAGAAAAAGAGATGTGTTGCTGATATCAAGTAATGAGGTGGTTGGGTTAGAGGGGTTCCCAAAGAAACACAGCCTCTGAGGGGGTGTGTGATGAGAAATAAATGGCTCATGTAATTGTGAAAGCTAAGAAGTACAGTACCAAGATCTGCCATCTGCAAGCTGTAAAATCAGGATATTCAGTAGTTCAGTGCCCTCTAAGTCCCAATATCTTGGGATGGAGTGGGCACAGGAGGCAGGTTTGGGGCTAATGATTTAAATCCTTGTCTAAGTCCAAAGACTCAAGATCTAGAAATGTCCAAGTCTGAGGGCAGGAGGTATTGGATGTCTCAGCTTAAAAAGAGAAATTCACCCTTATGACTGTTTGATGCTTACCTTCTTTGGAGTTGGGCAAATCTATTCAAACTACTGATTGAAATACTGATATATTTAAGAAGCATCTTCACAGACTTGCTCAGAAATAGTGTTTACCAGCTATGTAAGCATCTCTCAGCTCAGTCAGGTTGACAAATAATATCAGCCATTACAGTGGTTCCATGGAAATTAACCCTGTCTTGAATGGGGATATGGTTATAGAAGCACCCCCAAAAAGACTGAAGGCTGAGATGGATTCTTTTCTGGTTGAAGTGGTAAAGGAGGTAGCCTATGTCTTGGGGAGCCCTACCCTGGGAAGGAGCTGCCTGGAAACTGAAGCAAGGCTTCTTAGCATCTGAAGAGTCTATGTGAGACTTCACCTTTAGACAGTCCTCAACACCACCCACTCAAGGAATATTATAGACATTACAAAAATCTGAGTAAAATAGGCAGGAGGGATAAATATTATAAAGAGTACCCACAGTTCTTACCACGTAAATGACTACAGGCAGTATGAAAAATTCCATGACATTACTAGGCACAGAGGAACTTGCTCTTTTGTACTGGTGTTGTTTACTTCTGGGACTTAACAGTAGGTAAACCAAACGTTCTGCATTCTGCTGTTTGTCCCTTTGATGGATTTTTAGAAATGGAGCAGGCAGGAGAGAAACTAACCAGTCCTTCCTTGATAATGTTCCCCAACTTTCTTGCCTCCGTACAGAAAAGCACCCAAGGAAGCCTTGGCAGCAGCTGAGTCTGCCAGATCACATCTTTATTTTAATTTGGCAATAAACTAGTGTACAAACTGTGCTATAAAACACTGCCTCCAACAGCATCTCTCAGTCTGTCTTAAACACCTCACT